ATTCCTGCTTGACACATGCGGTACTGAAGACATACAGGCAGTGCTCTACAGCTAAGAAACCAAGGTCTATTTTGGATATAATCTAAATAAGCATCGCAGAAACAAGGCCAGCTAAGAGGGGAGGATGTAAAACAAGTCACCATGTCATCATGCCTGCCTGCACATCAATCTATAAAAATTCAGAATCAAAAGCAATCAAACAAACCATTTGTGTATCTTGTTCATTTTATCTATTAATTTGAGGTGCATGTCGAAATCTGACGATACAAGTTAGTGCAGTGGTAGATAAGGCTATGCTAGCCCAAGACAACATAAACGTCCTAAGTTTTGTAAAATTTCAGGAAAACTACACTTATGGCCAAGTTACTGCATGTACTGGAGGAAAAAAAAAACACTGTTCAAAACTCAAACAGCTGTGATCCCATTATGAAAAAATACTACACAGCAGCAGCAACAGCTGGAAACAAACACTGCAATCTCTTTTTCTTCTAACTCAAAGACCACTTTATGGAAAAATTATCTTGGATTTACCTGCAAATTCCAAGTTTGTTTGACATACTCTCTGATGAGATTCTCTTTTAAATCTTCAAAGGGTCCTGTTTTGGGTTCAACACCTGGTGGTCGGTTGAAAGGTTTTCTCAGTAGACAGACAAGGCCATCTGCTTCCTCTGAGTGATAGTTAACGAGCTCAGCAGGACTGGCATGCGACTTGCCTCCTGCAATAGCATATGACCCACTCAGCTCCCTCTCAATTGTATAATGATGAACCTTCCTTCCATGGGCCAAGGATAAGGCAAAGCCCCCCAGGTAATTCCGGCTTTGGCGGAGCAAGTATAGTCCATCACTCACTCCTCCTTGCATCAGATACTCCTCGGCTTCTTCACGTGTAATATTGCCAAAGAAGTATGGCAAATGGTTAGCAGGGTTCACTGTGTGGGAAGCCATGTTTTTTGCTTTTCCAAGTAGCAAATTAGTATTCTGTATCTGAAAAACAAAGACAGAGACATGAGTATCAGTTGAAAAAAAAAGGATAAACCAGTAACATGCCAGCTCACATGTGGTATGTCAGTAATATATTTTTTAAAAGATCTTGGGACAAAGAACACATTTTGGGTTTTATCTTGTTAGAAGTTGTCTTTCTAGATCCGAATAGGAAGTTTTTCCCTGTTATACGGTAATATAAATGTTTCCTGTAACTGCACAAGTTTCCTTTAACTCTTTCCATCTCTGCTCCTTTGCCTAGCCATACAGAGGTCCTGATATTTTCACTTGCCTGAATGCCTCTATTCATCCTTTTGTACTGGCCTTGAGGTGTTTCCCAATAAAAGGAAATAACTAGGTAAGAAAGGTTCAGTGAGAACAGTTTTTTATTCCAGTTTTGTGCCATTATAGTTTTGCTTATAAGAGTAGCTTATGCCAGTATGTGGGCTGAGTATGGACAAAAGTCCTACATTAAAATAGTTAACATTCCTCTCCGCAGAGATTTACCAATGTTTTTTTAATGGTAAAAAGAAAAAAAGTTATAGTGCCTTTTTGAACAGTTTTCATTTCAAACAGCTTATACTGAAATAATAAGAAGGCACGCTACCAACAAAAACACAGAAGAGAATAAAGTTCAGCATCTCTGAAGAATAATAGTGAACATAACATAAACAGCTTCAATTCTTTTACTCTTAATTTAACAATAAAAATAATCTCAT